TAGAAGGCACGTACCAGATCGATCTTTCAGAATACGGACTTACCGAATAAGGCACTGGCAAAGTTCTGAAGATGCAGAATGAGCTACCGGTTCGGGATAGTGGCATTCCGCCAGCTGCTACAGTTATCAAGGGGACGGTTTGAAGGCAAGTTCAGTTGCCTTTCAGGTTTAAGCGCATATAAAGCATGAACTTGAACTCGGCGTTGGCAGCAACTAGACGACGTAGACGGATGTCGTAAACCATATTGTGCGGTGGTGTGCAAGGTGTGAAACTAGGATATCGAAGAAGAACCTGTAAATCTAGGCGACACATCTCGAAGGGGAGTATTACTTCGATATCCAGCAAATCGGTTTATGCACAGATGTTTTGACAATAACATGTCGCTGAAACATTCGAAAAGGGGTTAAAAATCACACGAGCCATCACTTGCGAATTTCAGCAACGAGACTTTACGTAGGCAGAGTACTTGATCACGCATGTACAGTGTGATTGTACGTGGGGTCCGTGGTTGCATAAGTAAGGCAGGCCGTCGAAAGTACAACACGGTCAGTGACGCAGTAAAAGAACATAACCCTGCGGGTGTGGCGTGATTTACACAAATTTAAATTATTGAAAACATATATGGTATTCGCTGCTTATGTGATGACAAATTACTCGGCTGAAGAGGCCAATGAGGTTAATCTTATTGAAATTGGCGTGTGCTGGTTCAACCCGTCAAGTCAGATTGGAGGTGAAGGCACAGGGAGAGACGCAGGCACAGTCTTTGGCACCATTAGCAGCATGGTATCAACTGATAACGGTTGATTTTGGACAAGACTGAGACGGCTAGACAGGCCGGAGATATAAAATGTATGGGCGCCAGAATGATGGTGTTGTTGGATGTTGGAGACAAGCTACATAATTGGCAAACTGCGCAGTGACGTAATAGAAGCACGTAACACTCCAGGTGCGGCACCAATCAATCCGATTTTAACTGCCGACGGTACATAGGGTAAACCCTGTTATGTGATACCAAAAAGTTTTGCGTTTATTGGCCTGCGCCTGATAAAATAGGCGAATCTCCGTGCGGAACAGGATTATAAATCGACAAGGGCCGCTGGTATCTATGCCCGCGCTCTGTGCAGTGTGCACGACGTGACTCTGCGCTCAGCCAACGATGATCTCCCGAGCTGCGTTCATTGGCCTGCTGGCACTCGTATCTGCGGTCATTTTGTCCAGGGCCTACCCCAATAAGGATTTCAATGAGACGACAACATTTGACGATGATCTGCTTTAAAGTGCCCTCAATGCTACCGACATACCGGAGATGCCTGACGACATTGATTTGGAAAAGAGAAGCGGATGGAGAAGATTTTGGAGGAGAGTGGGTGATGGACTCCGAAGGTTCTTCGCCTTACTGTACTTTTCATTTTTATTTTCATCTTTCTTGCACTCTCCCACCATTAGCTAAAATAGAAATAACGCTATCGCGACCAGTGCAATCAGCATAAACACCCACCAGTCCAAGCACGAGTTGTAGCAGTAACAATGGTTGCTGTTTCAGTGATTTAATGCGAAATACTAATGTCTCGCTTACCTTCGCCGAAACCTTATATATATATACGGTACGCTAGTACCGTTTTGAAGGAAACCGGGTCGCAACTAACTTTGCACCTAATTGAGCGTTGACTGTTTGTGATGTTGATAGATGAAATTTTCGGCTATTAGGCATCTTTTGCAATCTTCCGGTAATTTATTGTTTGCGCACCCAATTTTATTAATGATGAATGGAGCAAATTTTGCTGAAAATTTTGGAATGACACAAAATAAAACGAATTTCTGTTAGCCTTAAAGCCAGTGTCATTGTAAAATTCTACTTGTCCACTCTAAGCTCATCTATGTAATATAATGAGCAGTGGGCCTTGTCTCGTGTAGGAGAGGTTAGGCATATTCAACTCACGTAGCATCTCCAGCCGAAGCGGGTCTGTTAGTCCGGTTTCTACTCAACCTCGCCGAAAGTACAGAAAGTCGGCTTGTCACTTCCCTGAGAAGTTCTTTTATCGGCTCCATTGACTTCTCTTTCAACTGTCGCTCCTTTATGTAGCGCTGATCCATCTCGGCGACAAGTCTGATAGAAGACAAGACGGATAAACCGATTGTAATAAATTTTTGCTATTAATAAAAATGAGTAGGTATTATGTTCTATGCTTTAACAAAGAAATCAGGCAACCCACCTACGTCTTTCGGCCTCTTCCCACTCAATCATCTCGGGCGAATCTTGTAGGCTATGCCGGTGGCTTTCCTCCTCTACTGATCTTGTACGTTCTGAGACTGAGTTCCTTCCCATACTCCTCATCCTCGAGCCGATGGAACTGTTTGAGGCCCGTGGTGATCTACTAAGGAGGGATGAGTGTTGCAGAGCGGTGAATGCAGAACCCACGGTGGGCTTCACCTGGCTCAGCAGAGCCCTGAAAGCCATCCTTGATTGCAGATGACATAGTTGCAGCTGTTTTTTTAGGGAGGGAGGAGGGGAGGGAACAGAGAAAAGTACAATGTGATTGGTAGAACCTGACTTATTCTTCCAATCATATTTCCTCGTTCAATTGACTCAGTTAAGTACACAACCTGTCGTCGAAAGAACTGGCGAAAGAGAAAATACAGGTTCTACAGCATGAAGCCTCATTCAACACGACTGGTGCTGAACCTGCTTATATGATTGCAATCGTGGCATCGGTCATCAATCAGACGGAAGCAACGGAGGAGACGAAGAACCTTATCGGACACCAGGTATCGTCTCTCCTGATGGCTCATCAACCACGGCGAGAGCTCCCCAAGGTCGAACGCGTTGCACTAAGAGCACTCAAGGCCTACCAGGCCATCGTCATCGTGCGAGCCGACAAGGGATGATCTACAGTCGTATTGGACAGAAGCGACTACCTTCAGAAGATGAATAGCTTACTGTAGGATCGCCACTTTTATGTTCCATGACTCAATTACTACCTGGGACTCGCATATTCGCTTGTACTTGCAAGCATATGTAACTATGCATGGTGCCTCACTTGGGAGCTGAATTATTCAATCTAACTTTGCAACCAGACAGAAGTGGAGGTGATTCCCTTATGCGCAGATATTCGTACAAAACAAGTAGTGTATTTTTGTGAGCGATACCTCCAGGTGACAGTATACTCATGGTCAATGTAACAACTCAAAAAGTTTACCAGCAGTGAGCATGTTTAAGTCGTATTATTTCGGGATTTAAATGTACGTCATGGTAAGTATGAGCAAGTAAACTGCACATCCAACTACGAAAATTGGACAGGCTCCCTGGGCTTCAAACTCACAACAACAAGAACACAGCCTGCGTAGTACCAATTCTCCAATAGTCAGGGTCTACCGAAATGCGGATATTTTAATCGATTGGCAAGTTCGCAGTTTTGGCTAGGCGAAAGTGAATTTTGGTTATCCATGTCATCGCGTACATCATCTCCCAAAGGTAGGAAAGAAGAAGAGGGGGGGGGTTCATGGATCAAATTACAATTTGGTCCATGAAACCGCCCCCTCTTCCTCTTCCTTACCTTTGTGAGATGATGAACGCGATGAAATATCTGGACCCCAAATCTTTCGGCATTTAGGTTATCTATGTGTACAATGCAGTAAATTGAGCGAATAAATGTGAAAATACAAGTCTCTCGGG